CATGGGGGAGTATTTATAGTGTTACAAGTTAGATCGTAACCTTTGGTTCGGAGTACATGTGGCCTCATTCGGTTAATTTACATGTCAAATTGTAGGCATCAGCCGCAACTAGCCTGCTATACATTTATTGATTGGCAGAGCCGCCTCTACTAGTTACAAGACATAACATTTACACTCATGACAAACATCCTATCAGTCATTCTAGTAAGATCTTTGTGCAGAGGATCTCTTGGGAGAAGTGTCTATGGAAGATGCTGCTTTGTTATTCGGAGGCTTCTACCTCGGCTACAGAGCTTTGGCCAACAGGGCCTCGTCCACCTTCAAAGGGCCTCAACATATGGGCTTCGGAAGCTCCTTAAGAGGCAATGATAGATGGGCCGAGGCTTCTGTGGGTCTCGATTTGTGGGCCTTGGCTATACAAATCACCTCGACTTAAGTGCCACATGGTTCGGCATGAGTTGGCTATGAGCTTCAGTGGGTTGCCCAAACGTGCAAACACGTAACAATAGTCCCCCAAATCCAAGTATAGTCATTTATGTAATGCGAGGACTTTGATGAAGTAAAGCCAGCCAGTTAAGTTGAAATTTTTTTTGAAATTTTTGTACCCCAAATAATAGTCCCTCAAGTCCAAGTATAGATATTTATATCATGGTTGGAGTTAGAAATGTGCAGTTGTGGAAGAATGATAAAGTTGAGGTAGTTTGAGAAATCGAACCTGCGAGGCTTGATGGCTGAATTGTGAAAGAATGAGGAAGCCGAGGTGTTTGGGAAACCGAACCTGCGAGGCTTGATGGCTGAATTGTGAAAGAATGAGGAAGTCGAGGTGTTTGGGAAACCGAACCTGCGAGGCTTCATGGCTGAAATCTGAGGCACATTGACAATAATTGGTCCTCGTCAGTTGTGCCAAAGATTTGATATTTTGCGCATATTTTCGAGGAAAGGTGGCTGAATCGTTACAACTTCCAAGGCGTCTGCGGCCGTCGAATTAAAATCGTAATCATGAAAACAGCTGGAGCTTCTAGAAGTAGACGCATTGCGGGAGGTGCGTGGGAGATACGCTTAAATCTGAGGTGTAGGTTTGAAAAATCGTTTGAATTCTACGTCTCGAATTTGATTTAGAATGAAGGGTCCAGATTAGATGGGCTTTGATCAGAAGGTTAGGGTTCGTCCCGGCCCTTTATAAAAGGCGAGAGACACCCATTTTTCTGGATTTTCTACCTTTGCAATCTGATTTTTCTTCCAAAGCTTAAGTTTTCCGGCGTTGAAGCTGTTTGTTCCCTAGTTTTCCAGCACCATTCCGTTGGCGTAGTTATTCCCACAGGTATTTTCACAGAAAATCCCTTGTATTGCGTTCTTAGTCCTTTTCTGAAATGGAGTCCACCTCGGGTAGGGAGTTGGTCACTGACGCGTCATTCGGTCAGGGGGCTAGTTACAGGGAGGACTCCAAGGTTGAGCAGTATGCTATGACCGAGGAGGTAGTAGACAACAGTGTAGAGTGGGGGGAGTCTAGAGTCCCTTCGAATATGATAGGAAAGAGGCTGGGGGAGATTAGGGAGAGGTAATGTGTACCTCATTATGTAGAAATGTTAGTACCCGAGGCCCATGAGCGAGCCTGCTATCCGAGACATGGATGCGTGGCAGTGAGCGAGTACCTGTTTAAGGCATGTATGCGTTTTCCTCTACACCCCTTCTTCAGGGCGATGCTGAGGAACTTTATATTGTCACCGACCCAGGTTCTGCCAAATGGGTGGAGCCAGTTTGTTGGCTCATACTTCCTATGGAAGGAAGTGTCACTTGGGGAGGACATGCCTCTCCACGTCTTCATGACCCTATTCCAGCCTAGGGTAATAGGTAAGGAGTCAAGGGGGTGGTATTACTTAACTCCTTGGGGGGCTCGTGCACCATTTGTAGTGGGGCTGCCTTCTTCCATTAAGGGGTGGAAGGAGTCGTGGTTCTGGGTGAGGGGCAGATGGCAGGCGGTGGAGGGAGACATAGCCTTGGCTTGCACAGTACCGACCCAGTACTACGAAGCTTGTGAGTCTCCCAGCGTAAGTAGTTTGCATTATGTATTCAAATTTCTTTTTCTAACTATTGAGACTTCCTTTACAGATAGTAGTACAAGGTTCGAGTTGAGCAAGGCGGAGTTTGAAGTGATAGAGGACATTTACAAGTGACCTTTCAAGTTTCGCCACTTCGACCACCTCATCGACCGAAGTCGCTACTTCCTTGATTTTGAACTAATGGCCTCCAAGGGTAAGAAGCTCCTATACTTCTTGCTTTTTGTTTTGATGCTGATGCATTGACATGTTCTGTAGATAAGTTCAAGAAGAAGGAATACCCAGCCCCTGACATGGCCTCTATACTTAGGGCCACATCCACTGGAAGACGAGGTCCCTAAAGCCGAGGTCAACTGGCGCCAAAGAGGTGCGGGACAGGGTTGAGTGCCTCTCCAAGGACATCAGTTCAAGGGCTCTCGAGGAGGGGACTCCTCAGAGGCCGGAAAAGGCCAAAGAGCCTCGGGGCAAGGAGAAGGTCCCCGAGGAGCAGAAGAAGAGGAAGTTGGTGCACGTCAGCAGCTTGTTAGGAAGTTCGGGACCTCTGTGTCCCATGAAGGCAAAGAAGTCCCTCAGCCGAATCTCCTTGCAGCCGCCTCGAAAGCGGTAAAGATTGAAATGGTTCGACGAGCCAAAGCTGAAGAGGCTAAAGAAGAGGCCATGAGGAGGGCAGCTAAAGTGACAGAGGGCGAGGCCGCCAAGTAGAGGCCTGCGAGGGTGCAAGGGAAGTCTCCGAGCTTCCTTGCCGGAAGGGAGTAGGTTCTGGCTCTAGCTTTGGTGGAGGCTCTACCACCTGAGATCCGAAGTGCCACAGAAAGCTTCTACAAATTTTGGACGGATCGGTTGCAGTTGCATGCCTCCTCATGTGACGCCACGGACTTGACAAGGGCCCTCGTGAGCCAAAGTGTGAGATCCTTTGGCCTCGCACTGGAGTGCAGGGAGGCCCTTACTGACTTTCAAACGAGGGCCCAGTCCTCGGAGAAGAAGATGGCCTCTCTTACAGAGGAGCTGAAGGGAGCTAGAGCCGAGGCAGAAGAAGTGAGGGCCCAAAAATTTGAAGATGCGGCCAAGCTGGAGTCTGCCTTGTCTCAAATCGAGGCGTTGAAGAAGGAGGTATATGAGTCCTAGTGCGAGATGGCCTCCTTGACTAAGAAAGTGGAGGTTTCCAATGACCACCAGAAGGTGATTGCCAAAGCCTTGGAGAAGGCAAACTTGGAGCTAGCTGGGGCCCAAGATGAGTACAAGTTCTTGGAGGGCCAGATAAAGTGGTATGTTGATGAAGCGGCCAAGGCAAATGAGGAGGCCAATGTGGCGAGGGAGGAGGCGGTGAAAGACTACATTGCCAACTTCCATAATATCGAGGAGTATAAGAGTTTCAGCACTTACTGGAGAAATTATGCTTATGCCGAGATGATGGAGAGGGCTGAGGAAATCTACCCAAATCAAGACCTGTCACAGCTGAGGTCAGAGTTTTTGGATGAGGTGCCTCAAACCCCAACTTATGAAGCGGTTGGAGATGAAGTAGTAGAGCTATAAGAAGGAAGTTATGATGCTCAGGTTGCGGAGGCCCTGGCTGCCGAGTCACCTCCATCATTGTCCTAGGCTTAGGATAGTTTTCTTTCAGTTATTTTTTATGTACTTGCCTCAGGCCCCCCTTTTGTAATCTTGATTGAAAATCAATATAATATCTTCTTTCATTCAATGTTTTTTCTCCTAAGTGCATTGGCCTCGTCAAGAAATTGAACTTAATGTTGATTGAAGAACTAAATAACTTTAATTTGGTATCCTAACTCCAATCACTTGAGCAAGTAAATTGTATGCAAGCCTCACGAGCCATGACCAATATTGGACTTAAGCAAATGAATTGTACTTAAGCTTAATAACGATAACCTGAATGGATCCTGACTGGACCGTGTTTCAGTCGAACTGGGAATATTGCTTTCTGATTCGAAAGGTAGTTGGATGAAGCTAGTAGTGGTTGAGTGTTGTGAATAAATGGGTATAAAAGTCTGTTTTGTTAAGGCCTCCCAGAGTCTCAGAGTTCAAACGAGGTGGCCCAGAGATGGGATGCTGGCCTCTCCTTTGAGGTGAGGACGCTTTCCGACATGGTGGATGGTTTAGCCATGCTGAGACTTCTCCCAGTGGCGTTCAGCCTCGCCAAAGGGAGGCAAGTGCATACGCCTCGGAGTTCAAACTAGGTGGCCCAGAGATGGGACGCTGGCCTCTCCTCCGAGGTGACGATGCTTCCCAACATGGTGGATGGTTCGGCCATGCTGAGGCTTCTCCCAGTGGCATTCAGCCTCGCCAAAGGGAGGCGAGTGCATGCGCCTCGAAGTTCAACGAGGTGGCCTAGAGATGGGACGCTGCCCTGTCCTTCGAGGTGACGATGTAATGCGACACATGAATTCAATCATGGATAATTTTACTGAATCATGGAAATGTTACATAAACTGGGAAAGATCGTCCAGCGATGTAGTACATTCATTGATAATATATTCGAAGGTGCTCAATGTTCCATGGACAAGGTTGTGCCTTGCCATCCATGTCTTCAATCCAGTAAGTTCCGGGTCGGATCTCCTCTCTGATTTTATATGGACCTTCCCAGTTCGGGCCCAGGGAACCGGTGCCAGGTTCCTTTGAGGAGAAGAAGACTTTCCTAAGGAACAGATCGTTGATTCGAAATGACCTCTTCTTTGCCTTTGAGTTGAAGTACTTCGTCATCTTTCTTTGATATGTGTCGAGCTTCAGTTGGACGTCATCTCTCCTTTCCTCAATAAAGTCGAGGTCCCATCTGCGAAGCTCGTCATTTGTTATCTCATTGAAATGCAGACGTCGTAGAGATGAGAGTCCGACTTCGACGGGGCTCATCGCCTCAGTCCCATATGCCATGAGGAAAGGTGTTTCCCCTATTGGGGTCCTCGCAGTGGTTCGGATTACCTAAAGAACCTATGGCAGCTCATCCACGCAAGCCCCTTTTGACACATTAAACTTCCTTTTCAGGACGTGCTTGATTGTCTTGTTCACAGCCTCAACCTGGCCATTTGCTTGTGGGTGGTGAGGCGTGGAGAAGTGCTTCTTGATGCCAAATTCTTCACACAAACTTCTGACCTTGTTGTTGTCGAACTGTCTACCATTATCTGAGACGATCGAATAGGAAATCTCGAATCGGCATATGATATTCTTCCACAAGAACTTGGAAGTGTTGGCTTCTATAATTTTTGCAAGGGATTCAGCTTCGACCCACTTCGTGAAGCAATCAATGGCTACAATTGCGAAGCTCGCACATCCTCTGCCTTTTGGTAAAGGACCTATGAGGTCCACACCCCACTTCGAGAAAGGCCAAGGGCTGGAGACCGCGGTCAAATCTTGCAATGGTTTTCTTTGAATAAGAGACAATCGTTGGCATTTGTTACATTTTCGTACAAACTCGAGGGCGTCCCTTTCCAAGGTAGGCCAGTAGTACCCCTGCCTCAGTATTTTCGGTGCCAAAGATAGACCTCCAGAGTGGTTGTCGCACACACCCTCATGGACTTCTCTTAATATATAGGTAGCCTCTTCTCCTCCGACGCATCGTAAGAGTGGAGAGGAGAAGCTCCTCTTATAGAGTACATCATCAATGAAGAGAAAATGGGCTGACATTCTCCTTAGCTTGTAGGCCTCATGGTTGTTAGTAGGAAGTACCTGGTCCTTGAGGTATGCCACGATGGGCTGCATCTAGGTAGGAATCCCAGCGATCCACATAACATTGGAAGCCTTGGTTGACGGCATGAGGAGGTGCTCTATAGGGACAACTATGAGTAGTTCGGAATCTTTGCTACTTTCAAGTTTGGAGAGTGCATCTGCATGTGCATTTTCGATGTGGGGATCTGGATCAACTCAAACTTTTCAAAGGATAGGATGAAGTTCATCACCATTTTCAAGTAAGAGGCCATTCTTTTGTCCTTGGCTGAGAAGTTACCATCGACCTGGCTAACGACCAGCTGGGAGTCACTACTGATGAGTAGCCTCTTTACTTGCATTTCTCTTGCTAACCTGAGGCCTGCAAGAAGTGCCTCGTATTCTGCTATATTGTTGGTGGCCTTGAACCCGAACCTTACCGTCGAGTTCAGCTTGTGACCTTCCAGGCTGATGAGGACAACTCTGGCACCTGAGCCGGCATCCCCAGCCGACCCATCAATGAATAAGTTCCACGTAGGGGGCTCGGCTTGTTCCATGATTTCATCTACCTTGGGTAAGTTGGCGAATTTTGCCATAAAGTCAGCTAAGGCTTGGCCCTTGATGGATGCCCTAGCCTTGAACATGAGGTCAAATTCACTTAGCTCCACCACCCATTTTAATAATCTTCCTAAGGCATCGGGCTTTGGAGTACCTGCCTTAGGGAAAAGTTTGTCAGCACATGGATGGTGTGGGCTTGAAAGTGGGGTCTCAACTTCTTGGAGGCCGTGATCAAGGCCAAAACAAGCTTCTGCATATCGGGGTAGCGGGTTTCCAGCGATAGGAGTGCTTTACTTGTATAGTAAATAAGGAGTTGGGTGGTCCTCTCTTCTCGGATTAGAACTGCACTAATGGCCTTATTGGAGACGACTAGATACAGTTGTAGAATTTCATCGGGCTTCGATTTGGAGAGGAGGGGGCCTGCCCTAGGGGCCTTTTCAGGCTTTGGAAGGCCTCTTCACATTCCTCATTCCATTGGAACTTCTTCCCAGATTTTAGCACTTTGAAAAATGGGAGGCATTTGTCTGTAGCTTTAGAGATGAAGTGGCTAAGCGAGGCCAATCGTCCAGTCAAGCTTTACACCTCCTTTGGTTTTTGGGGGGACCTCATCTTGCATATGGCCTCTATCTTCTCAAGTTTGGCTTCGATACCGCGTTGGTTAACCATGTATCCTAAGAATTTGTCGAAGGCCACTCCGAAGGCGCACTTGAGGGGGTTGAGCCTCATCCTATATCTTCTCAAGATTTGGAAGGTGCTGTTAAGGTGCGTTATGTAGTCCTCAGCTTCCAAACTCTTTACTAGCATGTCGTCTACGTAGACCTCCATTGTCTTGCCAATGAGGTCCACAAACATTTTGTTGACGAGCCTTTGATATGTTACTTCGACATTTTTCAACCCGAAGGGCATCATCTTGTAGCAGTAAAGGCATCGGTCTGTGATGAAAGATGTGTGTTCCTCATCGGCCGGGTGCATGGGAATCTGGTTGGGGCCAGAGAATACATCCATGAAGCTCAATAACTCGTGCACAGCCGTGGAGTCTACCAGTTGGTCAATCCTTGGAAGTGGAAAGCTGTCCTTTGGGCAAGCTCTGTTGAGGTTAGTGAAATCGATGCACACTCTCCACTTGCCGTTGTGTTTCTTCACTAAAACTAGATTGGAGACCCACCTCGGATAGGTGGCTTCCATGATGAAACCATTTTGGATGAGCTTCTAAACTTCTTTCTTCAGGGCCTCGTACCTCTCAGGATTGAGGGCTCTCATTTTTTATCTATGCAGGGCAACCTTAGGATCAATTTTCAGGTGGTGGCAACTGAACTTGGGGTCTATGTCTACCATGTCCTCATACCTCTAAGCAAAGATATCAAGGTTCCTACTTAGGAAATCCTTGAGCTTTTCTTTCAAAGTGCTGGACAAGCCTTGCCCACCTTCAACAATTTGGATGGGTCTCGGGGGTCCACCGAGAAGCTCTTAAGTTCCTCAACTGGGGATGCTTGAGTTTCGTGTTCAATTATGCGGGGATCAATCTCATCGATGACCAATACTTCCGGATTGGGTGGTGCATCAATCATTTCGACATCTTCCAGTTCGACGGGAACATCACTTGGGACATTAGCCATGACTATGTCGGCGATAATCACATGGACGTCCCGGGGCTCTACCTTTTTGATGGAGCTTAGATAACACTCTTTCGAGCCTCTTTGGTCGCCTCTCACCGTTGCCACCCCATTTTTCGTGGGGAATTTCATGCATAGGTGGTGAATGGAGGTGACTGCTCCCAATTCCTTTAGAGCTAGCCTACCCAATACTCCGTGGTAGGCCGATCGACTGTCGACAACGAGGAATTCCATAAAGTTCATTGTGGTTTGGGGAGACTCTCCCATCTCTACTACGAGTGTGATTTTTTCTCTCGGAGTGATGCTATCTCCGGTAAATTTGTACAAAGGAGTGGTGGTGGATGTTAACTCATGGTCCAGTATCATCTTGTCAAAGGTGGATCTGAATAGGATGTTGACGGAGCTACCATTGTCAACTAACATTCGTTTGAGCCCATTCCGAGCTATAACTGCTCTTACCACAAGTGCATCGCCGTGGGGGTAGTGAACTCCTTCGGCATCTTCCTGGGTGAAAACAATTGGTGGAACTTGATTTTTCCGGGAGCTATTGTCCACAATGTAGATTGTCAGAGGGGGGTGTTTTGCCTCCCGAGCATAATTCATTTTGGCGTTTCGCGCCGCCAACATACGGGCCTCCAAATATGGTATCCACCTCATGGATAGGGGCCTCATCCTGAGCTTACTGATTTCTTCGGTGTCTGTACCCTTCCCTGGGCCTCTCTACATCATGCTCCCTTCATCGCGGAGAAACATCCCTTTGACGAGGTGCTCTTCACGTCCAGGTCTGTTATTGTGCCTAGGTGGGGGCCTATTCGCCTGGGGAGATTCATTTCTATCCCTAGGGGGTTCCTGCCGGGAGCGATGAGCATAGTTTCGACAATCTGCTGTGTCGTGTCCATAGGACCGGTGGTATACACAGTATCCAGGTAGGTTCTGATTTGACCTATTTCTAGGTCCCGAACCCCTGCCTCGGCCTCTCTCCCTACGGGATCCTTGCAGAGTTCCCATCTACTAGAAGTTAATGACTGGGTTGATATCCTCATATGCCAATGTAGGAACGACATTAAGAGTGGTGGTGGTAAGTGCTTGGCCAGAACTCTCATTATCAGCTTGGTTCATTTGGTAGTCCATTAAGTGGGAGGTCGGCCCTCTAGCACACTACCTTTGAGGAGGTGGGAGACATCTATTTGCCCTGTTCCTACGCTCAATCAATTCTTCATTGAAGATCTCCCATCTCATCATCTCTAGTAGGGCATCATAGGTGGTGGGGTCTTGATTTTGCATGTCACCCCAGAACAGGGTGTTCATGTTCAGACCTCTTCTCAATGTAGATAACGCCTCACGGTCGGTGACTTGCACACAATATGTCATCTCATTGGTGAAACGTGATAGGAAGCTCTTTAGGGACTCTCCATGTGCCTGTCTCATGTCTTGGAGACGTTGGATGGGGGCCTCTCCCTTTTTGCTTACAGCGAACCTCTTCAAGAAAGTCGTCTTGAATTCGGGCCAATTTCTTATGCTCCCATGTGGTAACCTACTATACTAAATTTCAGCTACTCTGCTAAGTGTTAAGTGGAAAGCTCTACATTTCACAGCTGGGGTGGCACCCTTAGGCTCATGTAAGTTTTGTAAACATTCAGGTGCTTCTATGGGTCGCCTCTTCTGTCATACTTTGATATCTTTGGCAAAACATAGTGGTTCGGGACCTGGGCGCTCCTTAGTTCCCTTGGGAATGGCAGGTTTTCATCATCATCGTCCAAGTCATAGGACCTCTGTTGCTCATCTGAATCATTTTCATCGGCCTCATACCTTGGTTGTTGGTGAGAGGTTCCGGGACGGTTCCTAGCCTCTTCCTCCATCCTTTGGCGCCTATTTCTAGGCGGGGCAGCACCGGGGGCATTTTCGTGCCTTTCTTCCGGCTGTTGAGGCATTGGAGGTGGAGGCGATGACCTTATCCAAGGCTCGTGATGTTGTTATTGTCTGAGCCTCGGTTCAGCGGGGCTAATTCTGTCAAATACACTGCCTGACCTCCTATGTCTTTGCTCTTGCTCATACGGAGGTGGGAAGTTATCATGGTTCAAAGGGACCTCGGTGGGTCGGCTAGAAGCATAGTTGGAGGAAACATCAACCTTCACCTTCCTTTCAAATGGGCTTTTACCTCGGCTATAGTCCGACGAGGTAGCCCTACGACTTTGAACTTCATCTTCTTGCTGGTAGTGCCCTTGAGCGTATGAAGGAATAGGGAAGCCTCCCTGACCCTGCATTTGGGTGATGAGTTCCCTCATAGCCATGTTTTGGCTAGCAATGTCCCTCATATTAGCTACCATGGCGACCATTTCAACTGACGTCGGGCCGTCCCACGCATTCCACCTCTTCTATGGTTGTGGTGGAGTCTATGCCGAGCTGCTGGGACAGCTGCTGGAGGGGGCACATCAGCATTTTCTCTTACCCTCATGGGGGGTGTATCTTCGTTTGAGCTCATTTTATTTGCGTCTTACCCTTCAGATTTTTGCTAAGTCGGGGGGCTGCCTTTTGTTCTTTTTCAAGAACAAATCCTTTTTCAAGGGGGATGCCCAAATGCTCCTCTTTAATAAGCTTTTACCACAAGGTTGTTCGTGGTTATGGTATGGCTTCCCATAGACGACACCAATCTGTTGACCCCAATAAATGTTGCTAACAGATACTAGACCCACCCGCGCACACCTAAGCAAAAGTCCAACACACAAAGACATGTGGACGGTCTAAAACGGACAGATCAAGGGTGTGGGAGTAGCTCAACGACGCGGGACGAGAACGTTCGGGATTCGACGAGATTATCGTAGACCGATTGTACAATAATTACCAATCAATGTTTGTGAATGTGTATCTAAATATGTATGAACTCGTTTGTGTTGCAAGATAATAAGAAAGAGAGAGTTGAGTAAAGTATGATTTCTTGTATTGATTCTTGCATTAACCTTTGTATGGGGTATATAGGGGAGTATTTATAGTGTCACAAGTTAGATCGTGACCTTTGGTTCGGGGTACACGTGGCCTCATCAGGTTAATTTACATGTCAAATTGTAGGCATCAGCCGCACCTAGTCTGCTATACATTTATTGATTGGCAGAGTTGCCTCTACTAGTGACAAGACTTAGCATTTACACTCATGACAAACGTCCTATCAATCATTCTAGTAAGATCTTTGTGCAGAGAATCTCTTGGGAGATGTGTTTATGGAAGATGCTGCTTTGTGATTCGGAGGCTTCTACCTCGGCTACAGAGCTTAGGCCAACAGGGCCTCGTTCACCTTCAAAGGGCCTCGGCATATGGGCTTCGAAAGCTCCTCAAGAGGCAATGATAGATGGGCCTCGGTATATATGGGCTAAGGCTTCTGTGGGCCTCGATTTGTGGGCCTCCGCTATGCAAATCACCTCGGCTTGAGTGTCACGTGGTTCGACATGAGTTGACTGTGAGCCCCGGTGGGTTGCCCAAGTGAGCAAACACGTAACAATAATAATAATAATTATTATTATTATTATTATTATTATTATTATTATTATTGTTATTATTATTATTATTATTATTATTATTATTATTATTATTATTATTATTATTCCCTATTTATATTTAAGGGGGATCTTGTGAAGTATTCTTGGTATTGGAGCATCAAGTTCCTTGGCTGGTAGCTTAAATATCGAGGGTTAAGTTCGAATATGGAAGACAATTAATTAGGACCAATGTTGCCATTGGATGAAGCTGCATGCACCTATCTAGCTAACTTCCTACCACCCACTGTCAAAGTTGGAATTGCATCTTCCTAACTGACACAGATATCCCTTTATATTAGCTGGATTCATTGTCACAATTCTTTTTAGGTCGGTAATTCACTAGAATCGTATATATTCTCAAGTAATGCTTTTCTGTTTTATCAGATCACGACCTCTTAATCCATGGCCTGATATCTGTCAATTACCTTTGTGTTTATAACTTTTAATTTCTTATTGGCTCATCACACTTTTTATTTGTTTTCAAAAATCACATGCATGCTTGATTTTTCTGAATATTACATATTTCCTCCGTCAGCTTGCTGTGTTCTAGAAAGCTTTTATATGCGCGTGCACTTGATGCGGTAAAGCTTCTCTCCCTCTCTCTCTCCCTCTCCCTATATATATATATATATGTATGTATGTATGTATGTATGTATGTGTGTGTGTGTGTGTGTGTGTATACACACACAAGAACAATAGGCTGATTATCATATCGATCACATCGAGCTTCGTTCAATTATATGTCTACTAGCTAGTACTCATTCTAATTTTCTGAGATTTTGTGTGACATCAATCAAAATGGTTCATAATAACAGTCCACACTATTAAGGAGATCCTTCAACCATAAATAAGGAACATTGTCATCTTCTTCTTCCACTTTATAGTTTCTTTCTTGAATAGCAAAAAACCATATAAGATTTTCTTGATTTTATGGTCACTAAATACGTAAGGATTAAAAGCTGATGTATATCAAGAAAGCACGCTCCAGTATTCTGATACCCTATTTTTGTTTTTTTAACAGGATAAATATGGGCAGAATTTTTCAATTTCAGCCAAAGCTCTAAACATAGTTTGGGGAAGAGACAGTCGCTACTGGAAAATACCGGACAAATCGTGAGTTTCCAGCTCTTCCATTTTCAGATTATTTACCTTAAAGCTAATATCATACAATTTACTGTCGTTCTAATCTGGAAAAAAAATTCTACTGCACAAGGGTATGCCTGTGGAACTGTTGCAAGTATCCTGGGTTGAGGTGAGTGCTTCTGTTGATGGGAGGAATTCTCAAAAGAACTACGAAGTAGGCTTCAGCGCGTTGTTAAAGGCCGATGCATTTGGTTGAAACAAGTATCCTGTCTATTTATGATGAAGAGAGGGAAGGAAGGTGAATTTACTTCGAGAAAAGTCTTTTTGAACTCTACTAATGCTAATGAAAAACAAAGATTTGACACATCAGGGAAGTTGATGAAGTCAGATTCAACTGATCCAAAAAATTATTTTGGTTTATATGAAGTATGGAGTGGGAAGTGGAAAGGGGCCTGCAAATTCACCATGCATTTGTCAGAGAAGCATAGAGCAAATGAAATTTCTCAAGGACCAATTAATTATTCTTCCATATTGTCCCATTTAAGGGCAAATAATAATAATAATAATAATAATAATAATAATAATAATAATAATAATAATAGCATGAAAGAATTCATCTTCAGGTTAAGATACATAATCAATGATTTGGGAGTTGTTGTTTGACAGTTTGAATAATTAGCCAGATTTGTTGCCCCTTTATTCTTAATAATACGAAAAGAGATTATTGGAACTGGTGGTTTTAATTACTTTTTGCTATAAAATTATTGTTATTTTATTATTCTTACGAGGCTTTTCGTTAATTCTTTCTTAAGCTGATTAAGTTGCGTGTATTTAAGGTTGCCATTCGAATATAATTGCTTTTTGCTCTTCCTACAAAGACTTCATCTGGAATCCAGTTCTTTCTCTATGTTGTCGCTGGCCATGGTTTACTCGAGGGGCGGACCCACTTGAGGCTGAGTGGGGTGCCCCCACTTGATTTTCAAAATTTTGATTTTTCTTGAGGTTTTTTTGAGTTTTTCAGGTTTTTTCTTATGATTTTTTGGTCTTGCCCCTTAATTTTTTTGATTTCGCCTCCATTGAATTTTCATCCCGTGTCCACCCCTAATTTACTTGGGCATGCAAAGCTAGAATAAACTCATTTTAAGATGGATAAAAGGGCTTTTGGTAACACGAAAATACAAAAATCCTTATGCAGCCAGTTGAAAAACATTGCTGGTCTTGATAATCTATTGGTTTCTGTAGAGCAGCTAGATATAACTGTATTGGAAATTCGGCTTTATAGCTTTCCCCTTTGAAAAGAAAAGTAACAACATTTGAAAGCTTACTTTAATTCTCATTCCATGGGGTGCTGCAATAAACAAAAGAAAAGCATAATTCTTCTTCTTGGAACCTCCCTATCAATTCTAATTTTGATACTTCACAGCACATGGAAGGACAAATGAAGGGCCATATAAGCATGGGCGGATCCAAGGACGGGCTGGGGTCCAGCCCGTCCTTCAGCCCAAATGCCCATTAAAAAAAAATTTAAGTAAAATATTTTTTTTTATACGTATTAACCCGTGTTGAATTTTTTCCTGGTCCGCCATTGCGTATAAGTTTATGAATGCCAATGGTGAATAGTGGATCGAATGCGATATGGCATCAGACACCAAAGGTAGGATTAGGAAGAGGCTTTCTGGTCTTAATCATCACGTTGAGTTGAGGTTCATTATGCAGATCGCCCCGTGCTGAACAATGCATTTCGTGGTAGAGCTAAATTTTTCAACGCTAGAAAAGCTCAAATCTGTAAACAGAAACTCGACAAGTTGTAGGGTCATTAAAGAAATCATTGAATGTGGAAGCCAAAGCACACTAAACTTCGATTCGAATGCAATAGTGCAATGCGGTGAAACCAAAATTACTCAGCCGCAAAAGTTAGAATTTTTTTCTTATAAAGAGGCGTCAACAGTATAAGATGTTAGCATCAAGAATGCATGCTCAATACAGATGTCTTTCTTCGTCAGCAGTGCACGGATCAATCGATTATGAAACAGGGAATTGACCATTATTCCCACAACTTTCTGTACAAACGTGGACCGTTCTGCACTGGCATAACTTTTTGACAATATAGTTCAGGGCGTAACGCTGATGCCAAAGGAAATCAGGTTACCCCCCTGCCTCATAACTGTAGAAACAGTTTGAAATATTATGTTTCACCAATACACATCCTCAATAAAAAGAAGTTATATGATCGTCTGTAACCTGGTGCATTCTTGAACTGAAAGGATGTGGAAAACATGCTGCATTTCTTCAGGGTGCTGCGGCTAATTCCATTTTATAAATTGACATAAAAGAATCTAATGTGTTCTTCAATAACATAACTCGTCCCAATGGAAAAGAGATCCTACAGGTTTTTATGATACATCAAAATCATGTCTTAGCCAGCACTGACACCATTCCTATCATTACTATAGATCAATGGTAACAGCCTTGGGTACTTATTATTCTTACAGAGACTTTCTCCTGCACGCAGGAGTACAGGGTTCAATGGGAACTCAAAACAGCTTCAAATTGTTTGCGAATCTCTCAATTACTCGGGCAGAAGAAAACTATTGGACTCAGTAGTTACAAACTTAATTTCATAATCATAGGAATCTCTCTCAGAGTTGTGTGTGGTAATTTTCTGGCTTATACCACAATGAGAAATCAATTCCTTTCTTCTTCAATTTCTCTGTTGCTGGACCAATTCTCTCGAGAAGCTGCATAATAATTCCATATTGGTAAAATGTGCACCAACAATCTGGTTTGGAAAAGCAAGAAGTACAAGCTAAAAGGAGTTTATTAGACAATTTTATTTTCTTAAGGGATCATCTTAGTTTGCTAAGGAGATGTAGCACAAAAATTGATTTGGGACTCAAAATTAAAGTATAAAAATGATGAACATTCATATATAATTGAGATACATTATTATCTTTTCCTTCTATTCACAGGAAAGGAGGAGAACAAAAAGGGAAAACAGAGATGCCCTTGTAGACGTGGAAAATAATATGTACAGGAGTGTTCAAATAAAATTATAAGTAACTTTTTAAGAGGAATAGTGTTGGGCCCATGAAATGTGTTCTTAATAAATGGGTAGTAGTTGTGAATGTCTAGTAAAAACTAATGGCTGGCTCTACTAAACAGAAAAAGTAACTTTACAGTAATTTTTAATTTTACGAAAAAGTAGCTTTATAGTAATTTTTAGTTTTACACGATCAAGTAATAATCCTATTTATAACAGCAGAAGCTAGACAGTAACATGAGCACAGAAATAAAGTCAGCAGATCAAATTAAAGAAGAAACTAACCTTGGCATGAAGCACACCATTGGATACCAAGACAGATCTATCAAATACACTAAATTTTGCCCCATCCATACAAGAAACTGTTCCCCCAGCCTCTTCAACTATCTGCTCCAAAGCGTGAGATTAGATAAATCAATTACTGCAAAAGAATAGTCCTTGAACATAATTTCATAAATAGGATGTAAGAGAAGCTAATAAAATCTCTAACGTGCTTATCTTTATCTTCAGTAGTGTAGGAATTACTTCAATTAAGCAGAAACTAAGCAAAGAGTAAACAAAAGCATTGCTCTAGATGCATTCCTTTATAATTTGAGACATTTTTTACATTATGCAAGGGATAAGCTGATAAGCCACCCAGAGGCGTCACAAGAAAGGAGCTGACTAGGAATTGTTATGTTTTAATTAATTGAATCTATTGAGTCAGTTGGGGAAGGAGTTAGTTATGCACGTGTCATGTTGGTTAGAAAAGAATAAAGAGGCAGAAACAGAAAATAGAAAGGCATTCACGGGGTGGGAAAATCTGTGAATCATTGAGGAGAGGGGCAGCTCTCTAAACCTGTCATTTTCACTATCAATTGCTGTAACCATTCCTTTAATTTCTTAGTTGATGAAATACATATCCATCTCTTTCACTACTTGGCATTTCCTCTTTAAACTCTGTACTTTGATTTACTTCTTACTGTTGTGTTGAGGATAGGACCAGATTATTTTGGAGCAGGCTCTATCATTTGGTATCAGGCCGTCAAATTCTGGGCGGGCGATGCCGGTAAATCGCCGGTAACGAGAATGGACACTAGAATTGAAACACTCAAAGCTTCTATAGCCCAGATCCCGACATTGGTGCATCAGTGTTGCATTTGCAAGGAAACGTGGAACATCTGAATGCGAAATTAGGGATGGAACTGGGGAAGATGAATGAAAAAATAGAAGTGAGTTTGGCGATGGGTCGGAGGGAGCTGAATGATGGTCTACAGACAATAGCGAAGATGATAAAATCTTTGCCATTGGATTCGCAGCCCTCGGTCGAAGAAGGGAGTGAGATGAAATCCTCAGCAACCAGCGATGAACTAACTGAGTCGGAGACCATGGGCCTGGAGAAGAAAAATTGGGAAAGTGGGGAGAATCACTACTGTAAGTTGGAACTGCCCTGTTCAATGGGATCCAGATTCGTGGATTTTTAGAACCGAAAGGTATTTCAATATGAACAAGCTGAATGATGCCGAGCGAGCCTTGGCCGCTGGCATATGTATGGAGGGTAGTGCTCTCTCATGGTTTCAATGGGAGGATGGGAGACGACCTATGCGAAACTGGATGGATCTGAAACAACATTTGTTGGAGAGGTTCAGGGACACTCAATATGGCACTCTGCATCAACGATTTTTGGCCATCAAAAAAATGGGACTGTAGCAGAATTTAGAGAAAATTTTGAAATTATGGCTGCACCGCTCAAGAATTTGAATGAGGAGACCTTAAAAGGGGTGTTCATAAACGGGTTGGAGGAAGAGTTACAAGCAGAAGTGTTGATGGCAAATCCGAAAGAGCTGTCCCAAATCATGGATGTGGTGCAAAGGGTCGAGGACAGAAATCTGCGAGTCAGCAGGGCTTGGGAGAAAGAGCGCCTACGCTACAAAAGCTCGTCCTACGCTCCTCCTGCTAGGACTGAAAATAGAACTATCCCATGGAATCCTCCTCGAGGGAATGTCCCGGTGGAGAAGTCAAGAACAATCTCCACGGATGTAACTTCCGGATTTAAGAAACTAATGTAGGCAGAATTGCAGGCAAAAAAGGATAAGGGGTTGTGTTTTAGATGTGATGACAAATACACCATCGGGCATAGGTGTCGTAACAAAGAATTGCATGTGCTGCTGGTTGCTGATGACATTGAAGGGGGTGATGGGGAGGAAGAAATGAAAGAGGAGAAAGTAAGGAGAACAGAATTTGAGGAGGTCGAGCTGTCCATGAACTCTGTTGTCAGTTTGACATCCCCTAAAACCATGAAGATGAAGGGTACAATTAATGGACAGGAAGTGGTGGTGCTTATTGATTTCGGAGCGACCCATAATTTCATTTCCTCATAATTGGTTCGAAAATTGAAAATAGCTGTCACCGAAACTAACGGTTACGAAGTGCATTTGGGATCCGGGATGGCAGTAAAGGGAAGAGGAATATGCAAGGGAGTGGTGCTTTATATGCAAACTGTGGTAGTCATCGAGAAGTATTTACCATTAGATTTGAGAAATTCGGACAATGGCTGAGTACATTGGGCACCATTCAAGTGAATTGGAAGCTACTCGTGATGAAAATATCTATGGGGGATAGAACGGTTACTTTGAAAGGGGAAGAAGGGTCAAGTCCTTGGTATCCTTGAAATCGATGTTAAAAACCATACAGAAGGAAGGCGAGCGTCTGATGGTAGAACTCTGTTCCGTTCAGGTAGAAGAGCCAAAGCAAGTATGTAATATACCAGAACCTATTTAGAAAATTCTGGCAACTTATAGTTCGGTATTTGAGATGCCGGGTGGATTACCTCCTCCACAAGGTCATGAACATGCTATCACATTGAAGCCAGGGACTGAACGTATTAATGTTAGACCATACCGCTATCCTCATGCGCAGAAGGCTGAAATTGAGCAATTGGTGGCTGACATGTTAGAAGCGGGGATAGTCCAATCCAACATCAGCCCATCTTCAAGTCCAGTACTATTGATGAAGAAAAAAGATGGGGGATGGAGGTTTTGTGTGGATTACAAAGCCTTGAACTGAGCTACAGTACCTGATCGTTTTCCTATACCGGCCATTGATGAGTTATTGGATGAATTACAGGGTGCCACTATCTTCTCCAAGCTGGACCTAGAGTCAGGGTATCACCAGATTCACCTGAGGGCGGGGGATGAACACAAAACAGCATTCCGAATGCATGAAGGGCATCATGAATTTTTAGTAATGCCTTTTGGGCTTACTAATGCCCCTGCCATTTTTTAGTCATTGATGAATCGGGTTTTCAAGAGCTTGTTGCAAAGGTGCGTGTTGGTTTTCTTTGATGATATTTTGGTATACAGCCGTTCGTTGAAGGAGCATTGTGTGCATTTAGAAGGTGTGTTAAGGCTCCTACAAGAGCAAAAATTATATGTAAACCGAAAAAAGTGCTAGTTTAGGTGTGCTACTTTAGAGTATTTGGGGCATGTAATCAGTGCCAGGGGGGTAACAGCGGATTCAAAAAAAATAGATGCGATGCAATCTTGGCCTGTCCCTCAAAAAATCAAGGAGTTATGAGGCTTCTTGGGATTGACTGGGTATTACCGAAGGTTCATAGAAGATTATGGAAAGATGGCTGAACCATTGACCAGATAATTGAAGAAAGAGAGCTTCAACTGGGATCACGACGCTGAATTGGAATTTTATGCATTGAGGGAGGCCATGACCAAAGTTCCGATGTTAGCATTGCCTGACTTCACCTTGCCATTTGTGGCAGAAACTGATGCATTTGGAGTGGGCTTAGGGGCTGTACTATCCCAGCAACAAAGGCCCATATCTTACTTTAGTCAAGCCTTGTTTTCCAGGGCGAGGCTCAAGTCGATTTATGAAAGGTAACTTATGGCTATAGTTCTATCTGTTCAGAAATGGAGACACTATTTACTTGGGAGACAGTTTATCGTTCGCACGGATCAAATAAGTTTGAAGTTTTTGCTGAAATGGCTGGTGTGTGTGGAACATCAAAAGTGGGTTACTAAGTTACTCGGCTATGACTTTGAGATTCAATATAGACCGAGCCTTGAGAACGAGGGCACGAATGCCTTGTGTCACCTTCAGTGGCAGTGAAGTTAGCAGTCATGTCTGTATCAAAGGTAATGGACCTGGGGGAGTTGCGAGCACAGATAGAGAAGGATGAGAAGTTAGCCGGCACCAGGGAGGCCTTACTCAAGGACCCCTTATCCAATCCTCCAGAAGATTGGAGCAGACGCTTACAAGCCCCAATTGCCGGACACGCCCAACATTCATCCGGTGTTTCATGTCTCCCAGTTATGTAAAGCAGTTGGTCTCACAACGCCCATTCAGCCCCTCCCACCTCTTCTCAGTTTAGACTTGGAATGGACTGTGCAACCAGCTTGTGTTCTGGGTATCAGGCCTAGTAGTGATCCAGTAGATAAAAGGACCAGAAGTACTTGTTCAGTGGCAGAATCTTCCCTCGTTCGAAGCTTCTTGGGAGCCGTTTGAATTGATCAACACTTAGTTTCCTGAATTCCACCTTGGGGACAAGGTGCTTGCATTGGTGGGGGGGTATTGATAAGCCACCCATACGTTTCACGTATGAGAGGCATCACAAGAAATGAGCTGACTAGGAATTGTTATTTTTTAATTAATTGAATCTATTGAGTCAGTTGGGGAGGGAGGGAGTTATGCACGTGTCATGTTGGTTAGAAAAGAATAAAGAGGCAGAAACAAAAAATAGAAAGGCATTCACGGGGTGGGAAAATCTGTGAATCACTGAGGAGAGGGGCAGCTCTCTAAACCTGCCATTTTCACTATAAATTGCTGTAATAATTTCTTTAATTTCTTAGTTGATGAAATACATATCCATTTCTTTCACTACGAGGCATTTCCTCTTTAAACTCTCTACCTTGATTTACTTCTTGCTATTGTGTTGAGGATAGGACCAGATTATTTTGGAGCAGGTTCTATCATAAGCTCAGAAAGAATACTGCCACTTATAAAGTACACTTCTCATGATAAAATAATACAACCATGTTAAAGCACAACCTGTTGAAATTCAGAGAGGAAACCCAAGAAACTGACAAGGGGCGCCTGTCACTGACACAAATGATCTATCATTGAGTGAGCTAGCTTCATGACAAGTTGGAGAGAAGCAATTAAAATAAGCCCCATCTTTTAAAATTATATAAATCAAGCCTCTTTTTGTCATAATCTATTATCCCTATGCGTTCATCTCTTTCCTCACCTCCACCTTGTATCACATTTTCCACTTCCACTTCCACCTCCACGGTCACTGTCCTTACCTAGACCCCTGCCTGCCCCCCCCCCCCCCCCCC